ATTGTTGTAGACAATAGATTAAAGTGGATTTTTTTTCCACCCTGGTATTTCTCAGGATGAGGCATTTTATAGCTCTTTATGGTGCACCTGCTTTTTGCTGATTATGTGGTTCCATAATTCATTTTAGCATTTTATTCATACTGGCTATGGGACATTCTTCTAGACAATCTGCATTTGGTTTTGAAACAAGATGGCAGAGCAGCATTGGGCTTTACAGTCACCAGCCTCAGGAACTGCTCCTGCCACTTCTGCAGGACACGGGAACTGCAATGATAGGGGAGGTGGTTTTCTTATGTGTGTGATGTTCCTCATGGCTCATGAGGAAAATATGGTTCTCTTTTACTCCACAGCCTTGAGATCAGAGCTGACGGTGGCTGCTGCTGTCTTAGTGCTGTTAGTGATTGTGATAATTTCACTGATTGTCCTAGTCATCATATGGAAACAGGTATGTAGAAAAGTATTTTGGTTTGGGTACTGAGTCCTGCTGGGCTTTGATCTGCTCTAAAGTCAGGTCCAGGACTAATGCTTGGTTTTGCATTCAATGTGCTCTGCAGAAGCCAAGGTATGAGATTAGATGGAGAGTCATTGAGTCTATCAGCCCTGATGGCCACGAGTACATTTATGTGGACCCAATGCAACTGCCTTATGACTCCAGATGGGAATTTCCACGAGATGGGTTAGTGCTTGGTAAGTTTTCTGTAAGGGACTAGCCTCACCCTTCTTTGAGAAGAAAGACATTCAATGGCCACTCTAAGGTCTCTGCAGGATTAGCAATGGAAGTTATGGCCACAAAGTCCGGAGTCTCTCTGTCTGTTCTCCTCAGTTCTCCTTCCTGATCCTCTTCTACAGTGGCATCAGCCCTGAGGTCCTTGTGTTAGTGTTTCCTGGGCCTTCGTTCCAGTTCTCCTCCATATTCCCTGTGTGCAGTGTCCACCCCTTTGTGGTTTAGGGAACATTCAGTGTTAAATGCCCTTTTCAACCCTCACTTCTGCTAAGGCATCCAAAAGAAGGATGTTAGTATATTTTTATCTGCAGGACATTTATATACTTATGTACAGAGGCCAATAAAATCTGCAACTAATTATGTGGTTTTATTAAAAATATTTTTTTAAATTATTAATCCATGCCATGCACATATCAGTGGTGAGTAACTGCATATTTTTGTGGCTACTGTCCTTCTTTCTTCTTCCTTCCCCTTCTTCTTTCTTGCTTTGCTATTTCTCATTGTAATTCATGCAGAATTCGGTTGTAATTATTTCCTCAAGGCTGGCCCAATCTCTCATTTATATCAATTTAAAGTGTAATGACTATAGAAAATTTTAATGTTCTATCCAGATAGTGCTTTAAACATACAAGGCTTTCCTCTCTTGGAGATATCTGTGGACCAAATTGTATTGCAAAACACGGGAGAAGATAAAATGTGTACTTTGTTTGATATATTTTAAGAAACATACTCCCCTGGTGTAGTTCTTCACCATCACTGAGAAAGAGTTAATTCTTGAAAGAAGCAAGAGAAAAAATTTCTGGTTCAGGAACAATATCCTTTAATTAAATTCATGTTGCTAATTGAAGACTAGAGGAGGGTGAATGTTTTATAGAATTATTTTATTACAACCCAGACTTTAATTATATGCCTAAATAGGATTTGTCAGATCTGACTTGTTAAAGACCACCACTGTGACTTTGTCTCCCTCTGACTCATGAGCACCAGCGTGCTTCAACGCCTTCTTATTTACAAGTGTATTCAGAATAGTCAGTAACTTTAAAACCCAATGCTCCATATTCTTTTGGCAATCTGGATTGCACAACTGCTCTACTTGACACATTCACCCGCTGGCACTTCTGCCATATTAAATGCTTGCTGGTGAGGGGGGGGACCTCTTTTGTTTCTGCATCTGACAATTATGGTTTGTGTGGATTTTCTCTTATCTAAGTGGGAGATGACAGCAAAGCAATAACACCTTTAGTTCAGGGAGGCTCTGAAGCAGGTTAGATACCCATTTTGGCTCCACCAGATGAGTATTTCCCATCCTAGCTGTGTGAGCCAGATGGCATTTGTTTGTTTTTTCTAGCCAGTAGTGCCTGGAGTGCAGTACTGTGTTAAATGCCAGCTCTGAACATCGGCTGGATGGAGCTTCAGTTGATTAATTTGGGTTATACTGCAAATTTCCCTTTGCAATCACTGATCCACAGTATGTGCAGTGCACTGCTACTTAAAGGGCTCACAAAGCAGTGCAAGTCCAGAAGGTGCATACCAGAAGGAACAGTGCAGTAATGGCATGAGCTGTTTGAATACCACTGCCTTCTCCTGACTCTGCTGAGCATTAGTGAGGTGCCAGCAGGACATGGACCTCCTCATCCAGCTGACAGAACTGAGAGCAGTGCCTTTTGAGGCATGGAGTCCGAGTGCTGCTGCTCAGGATACCAAGGTGGCTGTACAGAGACAGCAGAATTGCTCTCATTGCTTCCCTGAAAGCCACTGATTTGTCCCAGTGACTTTAATAAAATTAAATGCTGGTCTGACACAGGATCGGACCTGTGCCCATTTGAAAAAGGCAAGTTAAGATTCAGCAGTCAGAGATGTGGTACCTAGTTTCATAAGTCTAGAAACTGGGTGTAGATTATAAAGCCTGACACTTGTTTGGTTTTTAATATAGACCAAGAGACTTATGGTTTCATTTGGGGTGGGTTGATTATCCCAGGCCAATTCCAGCAAAAGAAACGTCCAGCTGAGCTGGTTGCATCTGGAACAAATTCACACACTTCACCCATGTGTCCTCTGAGCAGAAAAGCAGCACCTCTCTGGCAGGCACAGCAGATAAACTCTGTGGATGGGTACAGAGGCTGAATTAGCTGCTCTTCCTCCACTAGTCTGAGGGGTCTGGAGCTGCTGCTGTGTCTGCACAGTCCCTCTGTGGTGGTGAAGCAGCGCTGCTCCTTCAGCCAGCAGATCACAGCAGTGCCTTTATACTAAGTAAGCTTGCAGTATTATTTTGAGCTTCAATGAAGCAGCCATCAAGAATTTGACAGCATTACAGATGCTTCCAGTTCTTGGGCAGTTAGCTCCCACCTGGCTCTGAATTTCAAATGCGAAAGACGTGGGGCTTGGGCTACATCTGCAGAGAGGGTTGAAAAGGGGAAATAGCGGTGATGGCTCCCTGCCATTCCGGAAGTGCTCTCATTGTCTCCACATGCACCCCAGGCCAGCAGAGGTGATGGAGAGGGAGATGTGTGCCTCGTGCTCAGCTGACAATATGGTTTTGGGGAGGAATTGGCTTGTGAAGACAAGAAGATCAAGGAGCATCAGCAAATGCCATCATATTCTGAAGGGCTGCATCCTGCCATATGGCTCCCAGATCTTCAGTCTGAAAAGCTTCAGGGTCCAAATTTCAAACTCAGGTTGTTTGAATTAGTCTGAAATTTAGTGTGAAGCTTTCTCACATCCTGATTGGGAAGGATAACCTTTGGAGCATGGGAATCTTGAAAGGAAATCACATAGCTTCTGTGGGCATGACAAACTATGCTGTCACAATCTTGGAGAAGTTTGCCAGTGTTAACTCAGCTAAGCATTCTTTAACCACTTCTTGTGCTTGCTAATGATGTAGATATTGTTTGGCTGGAAATTTTCTTTCAAAAGCATGTGTACAATGAAAGTGTGGGGGCAGTAGCTAGAGGATAAGGGAAACATATGGCATTGCAAGCCAGATAACACCTTCAGAAGTGTAAAAGGTGACAAGTTCAAACTGCAAACGAACCTCAAAGACAAAATGCCATATATCTCCATAGTAAAAGTCACTGCTTGTTCTTTCTGTGCTCAAGGTTAAAAAGTAACATAAAATCAGAGCAACAGCTTGTCAGGCATGTGACTGTATTCTGGCATCTGGACCTCATATACAGGTTTGTTCACTAAGTGTTCCCTTGATGAACTTGGTTTTCAATGCAGAAGCTATGAAATACAGTATTTTGGAGTATGTCTGTGCAGTTTCTATTTCTCTGAAATCTCAATCAACCTATACAAAATTCTTCTGGAGACTGTATTCATATTAGAAGACAGGATATATTAATACCAAATTTTTGTCTAAATTGATTTGTGAGAGGAGTAAAGAAAGGGTCTATAAACATTAGCTGTTTCATTACAGCACTTGGAAATTTGCAATACAATTTATTCCAGCAGATGAAGCACACTTGTACATTAAACTTCAGAGAAGTTTCCCCTCATATGTGATCAATATGTATTTCAGCTTCTTGCAGATCTGAAATGGTGCTGCCTGTCTGTTTCTGAATGTGCTATCGATGTGCTTTAGACCATTTTACTGCTGGATGTATCCAGCATTATATAATAGACATAAACTACAGCTGAGGGACCCAATTCAGATTTGCAAGTCAGGAACATGCCTGTATTTTAATCAGGTGCTGGCTGAGGCAAAGAGGTCAGCCTAAGCCTAGGACAACCCATGATGTGAGAGGATAAAGTGAAGATGGCAGAGCACAGGAAGGGATGAACTGGAATGATCTGAACTTCCAGGTGTAGGTATGCTCTTGATGTTCGCTTGCATCTTTTTAAGAATTGTGCTTAATGACAGCATTTCATATTTGCTTTTTCTACTTAAAAATGACCAGATATAATAAGAGCAATATCAGTGGTCTGGCTAAGGGAATGTGCCCTTTCCACACAAGAATCAACTTGTAGAGGAATAGAGACAGGAAAAGAGCTGAATTGCTGTTACTTTCTGAAATAAATAATGCTCTCCCTTGTGTTCAGGTCGGATCCTTGGTTCTGGTGCATTTGGAAAAGTAGTTGAAGGGACTGCATATGGATTGAGTCGCTCTCAACCGGTGATGAAAGTAGCTGTGAAAATGCTGAAACGTAAGTTGTCATGGCTCCATTTCCCAAGCTAGGTAGTGCAAGTTCCCATGGGGTTATTCAAACATTGCTTGTTATAAATGAATTCTTCATATCTAAAGTTGAAAATGAATGGTGAAATGATGGGATTTTAAAATTATATGTTAGATTGCTTTATAGCATTTCAAGCCTGAAGGTACCCAGGCTTTTGAGAACATCCAAAGTTTAAGTTTAGCTGTACAGCTACAATAACTCAACAAATATTGGGAAAGATCAAGTACTGTGAACAAATGAGTGCTATACAAAAAGGGAAATAGACAGGTCTTTTACAAGAATTTTAAGTTCACTGAGGATTTCCTGGTTCATGAGGACTGAGAATCAGATGCAGTGATTCTGTAGGAACCATGGGGAGCTTGCTTGTGTTGAGTGAGCAGCTTGTAGAGTGCTTCTGTGCCACGTGAGCAACCCACTACAACCCTGGAGAGGGACAAACAGACTGGGTCAGCCACTGAGCCACATCAAGTAAGTCCTTCACTAATAATTTGTTTCTTCTCTCCAAGTCTTAAGAAAGACACATATCAAGTAAAGGACACAGTGGCAGCAATGCTACGATGAGGCAAGCAAGGAGAAATTTGTTGTTAGTATGAAAAAGGTGACTTGCTCCCACTGAGTGGCTAATGTGTTTTTTCTACAGCTACAGCTAGATCCAGTGAAAAACAGGCACTCATGTCTGAACTGAAGATAATGACACATCTTGGCCCCCACCTGAATATTGTGAATCTGCTTGGAGCTTGTACAAAATCAGGTGGGTTTTGCTGACAAAATAAAGGCTTGCTGTGGAGTCATCATTCAATATTTAACAAGCACATTGATGCCTAAAGATTTCTAGCTTTTTATGCAATCTTCATGTATTTGTAGCTTTTTAGACTGTTAAATGCTTAGGTATAACTTCTAGTACTTTTCCAGCTTTCTTTCCCGCAGCGAACAAATGCTTATTGATGTGTTCTTTAAATTTTATCTAGTCTTGCCTGTTAGCTTACTAAGGACCTTTTATTTTGCACCATGTAATCATAGACACCATAAAGGTAGAGTAGGAGATCTGGAGGTGAACTCCAATGGGGCAGAATCCAGGGTGGAGGTTACCTAACCAGCTGCTCCTCTAATTGGACAATATTGGCTAGATATTCTAATTGCCAAATTTTATATAACTGTCCAAATTTAATTTGGAGCATGTTTTTGGTTTTGTTTTTTTTTGTCATATTGTGAACCTGAAGGCTTTTATATTATCATTCTAATGTTTCTTGGAAAAGTTTGTGTTCTATTTCCAGGCATCAACACAGGTTTCAAGTAAAGGATTTACCAACAAATATAAACAAATATAAGTTTTTCAGAAAAGTTCTTGATAATAGCTGCAATCATAATTTAGTAGATAGAAATGTAGTAAGTCACAACTCCATTTTCTACTACTTTTGGAGTCTTTTTGTATTTGTTTCTGTTTTTCAAAAACCCCACACATCAATGCATAATTTTGCTTTATTTTAACAGGTCCTATTTACATCATTACTGAATACTGTTTTTATGGGGATTTGGTGAACTACCTGCATAAGAATAGGGACAATTTCCTGAACCGACACCCAGAAAAGCCTAAAAAAGATTTGGATATCTTTGGGATGAACCCCGCTGATGAAAGCACAAGAAGGTGGGGAAAAAAATGAAAAAATTAAACACATGACCTTAAGGACTTGAGTCATTATTAACCCTTATTGAATTTACTCTCATTTATTGGTTTAAACTCCCCCCTAATTTTTCTTGTCAGACTTTTGTCAGGTTTAGGTCTGGGAAAGACCAGATAGTTTTTATTCAGTCTCCCTGACATGTGTCCCAGATTTCTGTTTCCTGCATGTAGATATGCCTGCAGTCTGAGAACCCCTGCGGTTTCTCCATAGATATCCTGATGTCCTAGAGATTTTGAATAATAAATCACAGCCCAGTGTTTCTTTTTGTTTTTTTTAAACAAACAAACAAACATCCTTTCAGCTCTACATGCCAGAAACTTTTAAAAGTAAAGTGCATCTACCTGTTTCCTTGTTCCTATGCTTGGGAATTTCCACTGTCTAAAACTCCTTCCCTTCAACACTGTGGCAGAGCTTGCTCTCCAAGCTCAAGTCCTTTCCTTTATCTACCCATGGCTTAGCCAGTCTCAATAGTGTCCTAATGGTTAATGTTCATCCCAGAACTTTTTCCAGATGGTGGTTGAGGAAGTTTGTCATCATACATTCAACAATGTAATGCCATAAAATGAGCCAGAATTTAACTAGTGAACAGAGGTTCATTCAAAAAATCACTCAGACAAACAGATCAACTGACTGGGTTGCTGAGTAAAGCCAGTACTATTCATCTGGGCATGGGTTTGTTCAGCAGGACTGGGTTTGATGCAAACTGTCTGGGTGAATAAATTACTCCTATCATTTGTAATATCTCGAGCTAACAGCCCTAGGTAGTAATGCTTGACTTCAGTGGGACTTTGGGAAATAAGGCATGGTTGCATACCTGACTGATGGCAAAAGGCTAAGATTGAAGTGCTTGTGTTTGAGTACAGTAATACACAGTAACATGTATTAATAAATGATGATTATGTTATATATATGATATATGGTAATGATCTTTATATATGTATATATTGCCTAGGAAAAAGCCAGGTGTTGAATTTCATATCAGTACAATGGTACACCTTAAGTCAATGGTTAGATATGCACATGCTTGTATTTTTTTCCAATTTCAGTTATGTGATACTATCATTTGAAAACACTGGAGACTACATGGACATGAAACAAGCTGATACCACTCAGTATGTGCCAATGCTGGAAAGGAAGGAGGGCTCTAAATACTCTGATATTCAGAGATCTGTGTATGATCGGCCTGCTTCATATAAGAAGAAATCCATGTCAGGTAATGTAGAACTGTCCCTTCTGCATATATCACTAATACAAATGACTCTTGTGAAAACATGTATGTTATTTTTGTCCTCTAAATGTGCACAAACTGTTTAGCTCTGTTCAGCAAGAGTGTGAGCATAAGCTGTAAGCTAAAAGCTTGTGGTTTTGTTCTTCCATTCTGCTCTGGGGGTAGGAGCGCATGTTGCTAGAGCAGAAGGGTTCCAGTTGTGTATTTGTTTCTGTGCTGAAACACTGTTTGCTTGTGTTCTGCAGTGGGGCTGTAGGCAGTGATTTTATCAGTCTTGTAGTCTGAAGGATTCTGAGTAATAGCAATGACCAAAAATAATAGTAGTTTGTATTGTACATTTTCCACTTACATTTTGCATTAACTGACACTTAGCAAATGCAGAACACTCCCAAATACTTTCCTGGATTATGTAATGAAGATAATGAATGCATCCTATTCCCTTTCCCTGTTCTCAGAAACCAAATATGCTTTTGTTTAAAAACAGACACCATCACTTCTGCCTGCAGGCCTCAGAAACTGAACCATATCCAGTCCCAGATTTACATGGCAGACTTATGTACTCATGCTCCAGGACAGTCAGAGAAAATGAATCACTGAATTTTGACTGGTTTTTTTCTGGCATTTTTTCATAAAAGAAATAAGAACTGTTGCCATAGAATTACTGACCCTTTTTGCTGGTATTGGATTAGTCCCAGTGAATACTTCCTGGGAACAACAGTGTTCAGCAAAAGTTAACGGATAAAAATGTACATGCATGCACAAAACCCTAATGAAGGCATCACCTTCACAAATATTTTTGTACCACACACTGAGTAAACAACATATGTGACAGTCCAGTAATGTCCAGTAACACTCCTTTTTAATTTTACTTTTTCCTACTCTTCCCAGGGGAAAAATTTACAGACAGAAGAAAACCCAAACACATTATTTAATAGTGGCTGTTTTTAAAAATGCAGTGTGTGTCAGTGACTGATGCAAACATTAAAACTGGTAATAGTTGCTATGAAAAGACTGTTTTGGTCATGGTACTCTGCTAAAGTTATCGGCTCAGAATCATGATAGGTAGGGGAAGATGGATGCTACTTTCACACTCCCCAGCAAACCCACATTTTTTTTCTTTTTTCAATAGAATCAGAAGTCAAAAACCTTCTTTCAGATGACAGTTCAGAGGGCCTCAGCCTACTGGATTTGCTGAGCTTCACCTACCAGGTTGCACGGGGAATGGAATTCTTGGCTTCTAAAAATGTAAGTAAATTAAAAAATAAGCAAAGTGGAATAAGGTGTAAAAATATCTTCTGCAGCTATGGTTTTAAATTTAGATTTTGAGCATGTGACACAATATAGTATTCTTTTTGGAGATAGAGTCAGCTTTCTCACTTACCTGGAAATAGAGATCACCATGATGGGAAAAAATCAAAGCAGCAGTCACTCGTCTTCCCTGCTGCATTCTGTGACATTCCCAGAGTCAGGCTGCCAGAGACGGTGGAGGATCAAAGTAGGGTCTGGGTGAAGGGCCCATGCAGTCACAAACCAGCATGGTCAGAAGAACAGGCATGTCATTAATACATAATGGGTAGAATGGGAAAGGGTGACCTCACTTTTGCCTCCTCCCCCCTCAAGTGCATCCATGTGAGAACTGGCTGGTCCTCAGGTGTGATGCATCTCTGCCCCTGTTAGCAGGTGTTTATTCAGTAGAAGGTCTTGTTAGGACTGTACCTAGAAAGTCAACCCTTTTGTAAAGGCAGAGGCCTGCTTGCAAAAAACGTGTCCTTGAACAACTTCATTTTTCTCCATACAGTGTGTGCACCGTGACTTGGCTGCTCGTAATGTCCTCCTGGCTCAAGGAAAAATTGTGAAGATCTGTGACTTTGGGCTGGCTAGAGACATCATGCATGATTCCAACTATGTCTCCAAGGGCAGTGTATGTACTTACTCTCTGGAGCTCTGCTTTAACTGAAATGAAAATTGTCAGTTTTAAATGTTCTTGCCATTCAAGATGGTTGCAGTAATTGACCATTGGGATGAATGTTCCTCAGAGCAATTTATCTTCAGTTCATTAATTCCTGTAACTTTTCTAACTCTGTTTTAAAGCCAAAAGGTACACATTTAGTACTTCACAGTCTGACATTTTTAACTGGCAGGTTTTGTGACTGGATAAACTATTGACAAACTGTCAGACAGTGACATAGCAGACCTAGTTCAGCAGTGCCAGATTTTGCATCATACCTTAATCTGCTACCTGGTCATTTGATAGTAATGAAATTAATATGGTTTGACTAGTTTTTGTGGGGAGCAACAAGTAGCATTGCTTATAATTCTGGTACCTCTGTATTAAATTGAATTAAAATGAACATTAGCAAGGTTATCATAACTTATAGAGAGATGTTATTCCTGGCTATCAAACAACAATTGCAATGGAAAGCATTTACTTAATGACTAATCGGTGTGTTTGGGCTTTCTTTCTTTTTATTACAGACTTTTCTCCCAGTAAAATGGATGGCACCTGAAAGTATTTTTGACAACCTGTACACAACATTAAGTGATGTCTGGTCTTATGGCATTCTGCTGTGGGAAATATTTTCTCTTGGTATGTACTATTAATATTTTCCTTTGTGTAGTGATTTTTTTTTTTTCCAATTCAAACTGTTCTACATTAAGTATTTAAAATTCTGCATATAAAAATACATGTGTGACTGAATGCTTTTAGCTGTATGGGATTTCAGATTCCAGTGTTAGGTGCAAAGTGAAATGTCCATATTCTCCCGAAGTTCTTTCGGTTTTGGTACAGATTTTTTTGTTTGTTTGCTTGGGCATTTTGGTTTTGGGTTTTTTGCTTGTTTTTGCAATATACTTTTTTTTTCTGTAAATCTAAAAGAACCGTGTAAAAATGTTTTGTGGAAAGGTATTGGTGTGCCACAACAGGATTGATTTTCTGTCTAATATGAGAAAGAACATATTTCACCCTTGCAATGGGGTGCCTGGGGCTGCAGCCCAGCTCAGCAGCTGCTTTGGAACAGTCTCTTCATACACATTTCAAAAGAGCCTGTCTTAGTCCCATTAGAGAATGAAAATAAATGTCAATCTTCTGGGACACTGATTTCTCATTTCCAGGTCAGCACTGTTCACACAGTTGGTTTATGGCAGAGTAAAGTGGTTATGACAATATATAGCAGTTACAGACAATGTACAGTTCCCAGCTGGGAACAGCCTGGCTCTCTCCTTAGCCTCATTAATTAGCCTCCTGGACGGGTGGATGGCCTGCTTCAGTGGGCATGCATTGCCCAGATTTACTGCCAGCAGAATTACTCCTGCCTGTATGGTATCTACTGCTGCCCCACAGCAACCCCAAGCCTAATGCTATTTGCTAGAATAAGTTGTCACATAACTGCTTCTCAGAAAACAACAGTTGCACCACTATTTATGGTATTGATTCCTGAAATCTCTGGGCATCATAGGATCCTGTAAATAGCCATTCCTCTGTATCCCTGGGAGGCATTGGAGAGCTCAGGAACTGAAGCACTACACTTCACTGCTCTGTGTGTAAAGAAGGCTCAGTTTTAGGTGAAAATCCTGCTTTTGAAAGGGCAGATGTTTCTGAAGTAACATTATAGTATGTCTTCTCCATCTAAGAAAGTTGTTCCTTTTTGGAAAGCAAAACATATCCTCAGCAGTGTGTGTTAAGAAGGTCAGCAGCAGCTGAGACTGAGTGCAGTGATGTCTCTGTGTTGTAGCCCCAAATTACCAATTAACTGTGTCAGATTGGGCCAGGTCCAAACTTCTTGAGAACCCATGCATGTGACATGTTAGCTATTGTCTAAAGCCAGCTGCCCAGCTGGGATGAGTGGGGTATGGAGAGGACTTACCAAGGCTTTGGCCTTGCAGGCAGGATGAGGTGTGTTACTCAGACCACGTCACTCTCAGCTGTCCTACAGGTGCCAAAGGCAATAATGCACACAGAGCAAGTATCCGAGCTAAGTCCTCACAGAAAGGCAGTGGCAGAGCAGAGCTGTGACCTCAGCCATGCCAAATGCAGGCTGATGACCTGATCCAGGTATCATCCAATCTCTGTCCCCTATACATTCTATAAACACCATAAACATACTTTTTCCTAACTGGTGTCGACTTTAATCTTTCCTAGCCAGCGTTTTACATTAGGGTTTAATGTCATCAAGACAATAGCTCTGATGTGAAATGCTGGCTAGGAAATAACCATTCATAGTGTTAACATGTCATGACATGAACAAGGAAGACAGTATTTAGGAACTCTGCATGGATGGTCAAGCACAGAGTAGTACTTTTGCTTCTCTTTTATCCGCAGGTGGCACACCATATCCTGGCATGATGGTCGATTCTACTTTCTACAATAAGATCAAGAGTGGATACCGAATGGCCAAACCCGATCACGCTACCAATGAAGTGTATGTGTGCATTTGGCTTTTCCCACCTGCCCAGTCTCCAGAGAACTTTTGCTTTAGTTTCTGTTTGATCAGTTATGTTCCTCTACCACCTGGATAAACTGGTTGGTCTCCTTCTTATCTGCAGGTATGAGATTATGGTGAAGTGCTGGAACAGTGAACCAGAGAAAAGACCGTCTTTCTACCACTTGAGTGAAATTGTGGAGAGCCTGCTGCCTGGAGAGTACAAAAAGGTTTGCATTTTGTAATTTTGTCTGTGTTTTCTGTATACTGCTTCAGAGGGTATTATCAGCATTGTTCCAGCCATGAGAGCCATGAGCACTGAACTGCCACACTCTAACCTATGTGAATTATGTGATTAACAAGGGGACACTGCATGTTCGGTTTCTTCATTTGAACTTGCTGAGAGAAGCAGTTCTGTAGTATTAACTGGGAAGCAGGACTCTTCATGTCTAATTAAATCCTAACAACTTAATTTTTCTACTGGAGAACTAGTTCTATATATTTTCATGGGATTTTGTATAAATGTATAATAATTCTATAAAAGGGACTTCTTGGCACATGTGTATAATCTCCGTGTCTCCTTCTTTGGACCCTGACACCTGCAAGTTTTCCCATCACACTTCCTATATCTCTGGACAAGTTGTGCCTGCCCCATCATTCAGTGTTTCATTTTTCCCACCTAACTTAGCTCCTTTCTCCCTACCCGTCTTTCACATCTATTTGCCTGCTTTGTGCTGCCACAAAGCTTTGCTCTTGCATCATCTAAAACTTACATGCCACTTCTCCTTTCAAAGCAATTCTGGACTTCTCTATCCTGTGTTGCTGGCTCATAGGGCAGAGTGTTTGCTAGGCTAAAGAATCACAGCTGCCCATCTGGAGAAAGGCAGCCTTAGTAAATAACATCTAATGAAGGGGTTAAAATGAATGTTTTCAGAGCTATGAGAAGATTCATCTGGACTTCCTGAAAAGTGACCACCCAGCTGTCACACGCATGAGAGGGGACTGTGACAATGCTTACATTGGTGTAACTTACAAGAACGAAGACAAGCTAAAGGACAGGGAGAGTGGATTTGATGAGCAGAGGCTGAGTGCTGACAGTGGATACATCATTCCCCTGCCTGACATTGACCCTGTTTCTGAAGATGAGCTTGGCAAAAGAAACAGACACAGGTAGGTGCAGTTTACAGATCCCTTAGCCCATAGTCCCAATTTGGGGTCATGTTTGGCAATGTCCATTTATGCTTTTCAGCATCATACTCCGCAAATGGTTTCCTTAGCTCTGTTGAAACTACTTATTGGGGGAGTTGCATACAACTATGGTAGTATGACTGGCCACAGTGTATTCAATAGGAAAAAAATAATTTTGCCTTTTTGTGGTTGCCAGGGTTAGGTCACTGCTGGTAGGGTGCTTCCGTGTGTTTTTGGGGCTCCTTTAATAGCTTGGTCAAGTCACAGTGGTTGTCCGGCGGATCTGTGGGGATATTTGGCAACATCTTGCCTCCTTGGAGCTTCATATGAGATCTCAAATGATTGATTTGTTTGTATGAGACAAATTCCAAAATCTGTGAGAAGTTGTTTGACCTGAGCCCAGCAATAATTGTTGATAATATCTTCTATGATAAAATTTTCTGTGAAAGCAAGGGTGTCCAGAACTTTTTACTTCTCTCTTGTCAATTTTCATGACCAACGGCACTACAACACAGCACTGCCTGACCCTAATTGTGAATGGTGCAGATTTAAGTCATCCCTTAATTCATAGTATATAGATTCAGCAACCTAGAAATGTCTCTTTTTTGATTTTTTATTTTTTTACATTTTTTTTGTGATTTATTCAAGTAAGGAAAGAAAGGAGTCCCTAAAAGTACTATCAAAATTAAGACATATTATCTCTCTTTGTTATTTTACTGTCTGTTATTGCTCTTACTTTCACCTGACCTCCCTAGATTTATATAAGTGACCTATTGTCACAGTAGTGTCATAAAACTATTTCTCCAACAAGTGTCTGGCTGAGAGTGTTTGGAGGAACATAAGAAGAGCATGCTCCTTTGAATTCCAAGGTGGTTCACTACTTTTGATATACAAGATATATCATGTCCTACGAAACTGGTGGTCACAGTCACCTAAGATTGCACAGAAATTGGA